CGTGGCATGCGCGCACACTCGACTAGATGCACCACAGTGACGGCTTGCGCGGTAGAGAGAGTACGATTTGCGATGCCTCGGCCAACGACCCTGTCTCCGACGCGAGTCGCGTGATCTCAAGTGCGTTCGCAGGGTACTGTGAGGGCCTTGGGTTGATGCGGATTGCTAGTTGCGGGTCACTGAGATTGCAGTCGAGCGCGTGCAGGAGGCTGAGTCGCATTCTGGACGCGAGGTGGTCGTTGCAGTAGCAGAGGAGGAAGCAGTCGGCGCCGCGGAGGTTCATGGTTGGCACCGCTTTGTACCGCGGATTCCAATCGAATAGTGCATACATGAGGCCGCCATACGACGTGCCCGAAATGGCGTCGCTTCCGCGGACCGGATGTGAAACAGTAAAGAGCGCTCGGTTCTTGAGTGAGTTGTACTGGAAGCTCGCGTACTTGGTAAAATTGATCAGCGCGCCGTGCCGGGGCTTGCCTATCATATCGTAGTAGAGATTATCGCAATGCCTCGGCGAATCCAAAAGCATCCCAAAACAGTCACGCAACAATCACGCAAAATGTACCGAAAAGCATGCAAGAAGCACGAAATAAGCACGAAAAAGTTGTGAAAGAAGCGTGAAAGAGGCTCGAAAAAGATGAAAATAGCGTACCAGAACGGAGATACCCGGCGACAAAGCCGTACGAGAGCGGGAGGCAGGCCACGAGCACAATGTAAACACCGCCAACAAAGAGAATTTCGATGCGCTCCAAAGGCGCCGGCTCGACGCAAACCAAGAGCCATTGCCACCACTCGAGAAAGTCGGGAACAAACCCGCCGAGGAGCCAAATGAACGGACCGTAACACACGATCGTGATTGTCATCAGCGTCGGATCGACTTCCGCAAACATATGTTCTTTGCGGTACTTTTTCAGACCATACGAGGTGACGCACAGTGACGCGTACGCGATCCAGACCTAATAGAATATCATCCTCGCAACTATCGGTACAGCCCACCACGTACCATGCGAAAGAGATAGAGTGCTGCGCTAAGAAGCGTCGTGATGTCGTCGATCTGCAGCAATTTGAGCACGGACGCGGCAATAACATGTGGCGAGAGGCACAGATCCAGAAAGAAACCCCCGACGACGTACGGATTGGTCACGAGGATCACGGTCGGGTCGCCCGCAATGAGGTGGTAGCACCACACATACTTCTTCTTGAGGTTGCTTTGGTGTCCATGGCGGCACAGATAGCGAGCCACCGAAAAGTAGTGGCGGTAATACTTGAACCAAAGGCAGTGCAAAATGACACTCGTGGAGACGACGCGGGTCACAAATTTGAGCCAGAGCAGCCACGGGTACGGGTACTGCGTCAGCGCAAACGTCAAGGTAAAATCCTCGCTTTGATTCGTCATGGCCAAGTCGTTTCCGCGCTGAAGCCACAAGCACTCGTTGGCGATTGGGAGCGAGAGAAAGGTCACCGTCAAGCACGTGCCGGAGGTCGTCGCACCCCCCGACGCTGCAAACGTACACAGTATATCGTTCATCGCGGGGCCATAGAAGAGCACACCGGGTAATCCCACTAGAAAGGACGCCAAGCATTGTGTTGAGCCGTCGGTCATGGACGAATCATTGAGAGGGCGAACGAGGCGACGAAGCACGTAGCTGTTGCGCTCCGGGTTGGCGACATAGCGAGCGCCCACTGGCAGCGTATCTCGATTGTAGAGCGCTTGCACGGTCGCTAGTGTCGTGCCATTGAACTCGGCAAAGGTCGCAAACGGCGGGTTGAACGGCGCGGGGGAGGTCCACGGCAGCATCTCAGAAACGTACGCTTCGAGCGGCTAAGTACAATACGATCATAGACAGCAATACGAAAATGTCGTGTACCATGATGATCATCGAGACCGAGATGAAGAGGCTCGTGACGAAGAGGCACGGGTCATGCCGAAGCTTATAGCGCCGTCGTGTTGCGAGTTTGAGGATGCCGAGCGTCGGGCTCGCCGCCACCTTGGCGCGAAACATCAAAAATGCTATTTTAGGGTGTCGACATCACCGCATTGCTTTGAAAGAGGAATACAGTATCGCTAGGGAGTTGCTTAGCGAGGAAAGCAAGTACATCATTGCGGCCTGTGCCATTCACACGCCTAGCATCCAGATCGGCGAACCTTAGCGCCGCCGTTTCGAGTCAAAAGCCCATCACCAGGATGCAAATTCCATATCACTCTCGTCAATAAGGTCACATCCATCGCAACGCACCCAACATCCCGGCCAACCTCGCGAATGCCTGAGTACCGATGACGACGCTGCCACGTGTGCTCAACGCCGACCTCGTCACCGTCTTTCAAGAAGCGCCTCAGGAATGCCAAAGATCTCACGGACCTCACGGCCATGGCGCAGAACAAGGAGCTTTGGACCGCGCTGACCGAGGCGATCGTTGACGCTTGTCCCGGCGTCCCCACGCACGATGCTAATAATTTCGTGCAAGTATGCGACAATCTTCCTGCATTCAGCTTACAGCCAGTACTGCTGTGTTGATTGACGCGACGAAACGTCATATCTATCTATCTCTTCAACAACGACGGGCGCGGTTCTGTGTCATTGTGCAACGTGCTGCGGGCTTCGCCGGTTCGATCCAGTTGGCACTTGATCCCGATGCTCGTCCGTATGTCTGCAACGCGTCGCGCTTCTCGATCGGAATACGCTACCCATGTACATTCCTGGCGTCTAAAATGCATCTTCTGTCGAGCTGAAAGCCGCGTTGGTGCGCAGTTCGCCATCACAAATCGTTCATGGTGGTAACCAGATCGATCGCACAGTCCGGGTATCTGGCTGCGACGCAGCGATAGACTACAGTATCCTGTTGACCAGAAGCCACCCTCTCTCTACGTCCTCATAGCGTGGTTTCGCGCTTGAAATAAAAGCGAAACGCCCCCTCATGATAGCCTTCGTTTGTGTAAGGTGCAAAAAATGGTCAAGGTCGCGGACGTGAGCGCGCCCGCCTGGGCCGACGTGCACAGGTTCGGCTTGCGTCGCAACCGCATCGCGCTGGTCATCAGCGTCGCCATGCTCTTCAACATCGCCTCCATGGTACCACCAGCTATCTCGTCGCCACGTTACAAACTCTGTACTATGGATGTAGCCGATGAAGGCGTACCTCTCCGAATATGTTCCGTGGTCCGCGCCGCCGCTCCTCAACACGTCGTATGCCAATTACTCGGCGTTCAACTCGGATTTTCTGGCGCAAAACCAGCGCTTGTACAACGCCCGCACGCTCGTGCCCGGCACGTCGTACTTTGAAGATGCCATCAACGACGTCCAAGTGCTTCGAAAAGCCATTGCGCTGCCAGCGCCGATCCATAGGGCGTCGTGCTTGCAGTCGTTTCTCCTCGGGCTTCCCGGCGTCATCTACTACACAGACGCCCAGATCGACCTCGTCTGTAGCCTCGCGAGCGCGACGAATGTCTCGGCCGCGGCGTGGCACCACAACGGCTCGTGCTTTTATGATCTTTTTTGCAACATTGAGATTGGCCGGTCGTGTCTCTGGCTCGAGGCCGGCGATGCGATCCAAGAACGCAACGCCTCCGACGGACTACTCTTTACACTCACCTACTCGTACAGTGCGACGCGCTTCGATGCCTACCTCTGGTTCAAATTTGTCTACCGCATCGGCAACACGGCTTTTGTGCTCTATCGCATGTGGGCCCACTACTACATGCATTGTGTGAACCTCGAACGTCTCTTGCGCACCAGTGGCCACAAGGCCGATGTGAGCGCGGCCGAGTGGCGCTACGAGCTCGTGCTGGGCGACCCAACCGCCATCATC